ATTGATATATATATATATATATATATATATATATTAACAATAGATTACAATGGCATAATTTTTTTCAAAAAGATTATCTTTAATCTCTGCGACTGAAATTTACATTTACATTCGCAAATATGAAAATACAAATAAAACATTATTTAAATCACTAAAAAAAGAAAAATAAATAAAAAAAAAAAAGAAAGAAAGATGGAAAACTTCAGGAATAACATATTTCTTTCTATTTTTCAATTGCTTTTATATTTATATTTGCTTGTTAATAGCGCATAGCAATCGTATTAATGGTTTGTGCGGTGATGGTATCAGTCGACGAGGTTCATGCAAAAATTAAAAAAATCGAGTTCATCATCGATCGTTCTTCCAACCGCAAAATTGGATATGTCATTACGAAAATACATCCGATCGACCGCAAAGATGATATCAAAGAAAAATCATTGCTTAAAGAGTCGAATAAAATTGACAGAAACACTTTGACCGAAAATGAGCACGGTAAAACCATAAATCATATACATTATATCTAGCATAAAGAGAATTTTTCTTTGGAAAAAAAAGGAAAATGAAGAAAAAAAAAGAGTTCTCATAAATTACCCACTGATTTATCTATTTAGAATCTGAAATTTCATAGCAAACTGTCTCATATGCGCACCAATTAATCAATTGACCGGATTATAAAAAAAAAAGTCTCGAAATTAGATATCTAAATGAGAGCAATAAACAATTATTTTCCATATAGAGCATACGGGCGAAATGCAGCTGCTTCCAGTTCCGGATACTCAAGCCATAGAAACCGTAGAGTCGCCGAACCTACAGATTTTAAATAGTCCTTTGTTTGACGAAGATCAGAATTTCGAGATCCGACCATCGTTCACCGACCATCATTCGAAAACAGTGACGATCGTGAAAAATGTCCCCGAGCCTTATGCGGTCGAAAAAACCGTTCATGTTCCCATATACAAGAACATTCCCTATCCAGTGGAAGTCCACGTACCCGAGCCTTACCCCGTCGAAAAAGAAGTTCCGTATCCGGTAAAGGTAGTAGTGAAGGTACCAGTGAAAATACCAAAACCAATTGCCGTAGTCAAGGAGTCGTTCTATCCGGTACACGTACCAATCGAACGTCGCGTTCCTCATAGAGTTTACATACCCGATCCTTATCCAATTGAGAAGAAAGTCTACTACGAGGTCAAAGTCCCGGTCCCCGAGCCCTTCCCCATCGATCGTAAAATACCGATTCCCGTCAACGTGCCCATCCATATACCGAAGCCCTATCCCGTAGACAAAATCGTACCCTTCCCAGTGAAAGTGGAGGAAGAGAGACCAGTGCCAGTGCCTTTGTTTAAGCCCTTCCCAGTACCGGTCACCAAACATGTACCGTTCCACGTGGAGAAGTACGTGCCGTATCCGGTAAAAGTCAAGGTTGACAATCCGATACCCGTACCCTATGACAAACCGGTACCGGTGAAGGTAAATATAGAGGAAGAGATACCTTATCCCGTTGAGAAAGAAGTTCATTACGCTGTAGAGAAGGAGGTACCTTATCCTATCATCGTTAACGAGGATAAAAATGACGAGATGATAGATTACACAGGCAGGAAGAAGGTACGGAAACAGCAATCGAAGAAAGCTCCAAAAGTTTACGAAGAGAAGGTGGAGTAGATGGTGAAATGCCAACACCGACTATCAGAATTTGTTGCTTTTACAGATCAATTATTGCTGTTATTTAGTTTGTAATAGTATTATATTTTTACGAAAAGCAGGTACGAATGCTCGTGAACTAGTGGCTATTATTCTGTTCTGACTGATTATAAATATTTTATCAACCGATTCATTACCTTCGCTCAAGTAAATATAATTACATCTTTATGTTACTGCGTCGATTAATTAATTATCTTCTAACGTTCTATTTGAATTTTCCACATGTAATATTATTATAAAGATCATAGAATAATGCGAAACTTTAATGTGTGCAATAAATAAATATTATTGTGAAAATTTATTTTCTTACCCGATAGTACGCTACCCCCCCCCCCCCCCACACCCCCAAAAAACTCTTT